CGTAAGTACAACTTACTACTTCATGTCAACAGTTCCACTCTTGCTGTGATGGAGGTGCCACAGAAGTACTAATCCACATATCGCAGGAATAAGTTTTACGATGAAAGTCAACTTTATACCTAGCTTCACTGTTAGTTTGAAGTTGGCATTTTCTTTTTGTGAATGAGAAGCCTTTGTGTAGGCTTGCATTATGAATTCTTTCATAAGCCAGTGTTACCTAAAAATCTCATTATCAATTGCAGGTGGTCTTGTAAGATACTAGGTTAAGAAAGAGAATAAATACAGTGGGAAATGGAGGAAACAATCTGAGGGGTATGATCCAATTAAGACCCAAACCGTGTAGCTGCATGCTACTGAGAAGTTGTTTTCCTTCAGGTTTGTGCATATTACAGTCAGACTGACGACTGGCTTTCCTCGTTGGAAAAGGAATGAATAGAAATGTTCAGAAAAAGTTGTTCTGAGCAAGTGCAAGAAAGAATTTCCTGTAGATCAAGAGGAACAAATGTGAAGCAGTATGTTTAACTATTCCAGTTGTCTTTCATACGCCTGCTGAGCCAGTAGTCTGGCTTCATTCCTCCTGTTTCTCTTTTCCCTTCTGTTTTCTGGCTTGACAGCGAGAGGGATAGACAGTGAATTCACACTGATAGATAGAGGTGTTGAACATGATTAATGCTGTGCCTCTTTCAGACTATTTATCCTCCATGGCTCAGTATGAGGTATTTTATACTGAGTACATTATCACACTGACAGTTCATTCCTGTTAATGTTGATAGAATGTCCACAGTCTACCTTGGAATGTGTGCTAGTGAATAATGAAATGTTTGGTTTGGGTTAGCACCTAAACATTTCTAGAAATCTAAACATTGCAGCAGGGTACTCTAAAATCTGTTAAGGAGCTTTCAAAAACTCACAAATCCTTGTTTCTATTTTCTGATGCTTAAAAAAAGCAGTCACTTAAATAGTTATCTTCAAAAAGAAGCAAGGGACATAAGATGACAGTGTGGTTAAGTGGTAATCATGGCAAAATTCCAATGCCATATGATGCAATGTTTAGTGGTCAGTAAAAGTATGCAAGTACATGTGCGTCTGCGGCCGTTTGTTGTCATTGCAAAACTGATAACACTGGATAGGCTGGCAGGAGCCATAATCCTCAATATCCATTTTCCAGTGGATATTTTGGATATTTTCCTTTATCCATAAGGCAACACTTATATGAGAGTGCGCTGTGCTAAGGAATAATCAGAAAAATTATTTCAACTGGTGTGAACCAAGAATACAGATTTATCTGAGGTGATTTCTGCCTCTGCCAACTTTAAGTGATCCTGTGAATGTCTTAGCTGTGGCATATATGAGCTTTAAAGTCTCATGTAGCCATGTGTTGTGCAAGTATATGCTACTGAAATTTATTCTAACTATAGGTCAGATTAGTAGGAATACTGGAAACTGTTCAATAACATAGAAAATACGGAGTAACTATAGCCAGCCTTTAAGTAGCAGAAGAGAGTAATTGGGCCCACTTCCCCTCTTATCCTTGTCTTCTCAAGGCTATGTAAACCCTGCTTTCCACCCCTTTCCTTGATTATTATGTGCACTACCCCCCCCTCAACCATCTTAGTGACTCTATGCTACACTATTTCCTGTTTATCAGCATTTGCCTTGAAGTAGGAGGTTCAAAATTGGACGCAGTACTCTAGATGCAGTCTTAGAGTGCTATGTAGAGGCACTTAAAAATCACTTCCCTCAGTCTGCTCTTGTTAGAGCAGCCCATTAGCATTTGTAATTGCCAGAGCTAATTGCTGACTTACGTTCAACTTGCTGTTGTCCTCCATCACAACCTCAGGTCTTGTTTGGAGACCTGATACCCAGCCATTTGGCTGTCGGCCTGCAGTACTGCATTGCATTATTCTGTCCCAGGTGTGAAATTTTGCCTTTGGCTTTGTTGAGCTTAATGAGGTTTGTCAGACTGTTCTTATAGCTTGTTAAGATGCCTCTGAATGGCAGTCCTCTCCTCCACTATAGCAACTGCTCCTTTGAATGTTAACTGAAAATTGGCTGAAAACCTGTGTTTCATCCTATTATCTGAGTCATTAATGAAGGTATTAAGATATTGATCATGGAGGGTTACCACTTTGAATGGTTGGTTGCTACTCTTCGGGTCTGGTGATCCAGCCCTGTTTTTCACTTGCATTGTAATCTACTCATCCAGACCCCTCGTATTTCCCTAACACAGTTTCAAGGATGCTATGGAAGACAACATAGAAAGCTACATTGTCAAGGTAAACAACATCCACTGCTATCTCCTTGTCCACAGAGCCAGTCATCTCATCACAAAAAGCAATTAAGTTGGTCAGGCAGTATATGTCCATGCTAAATCTATGATGGCTTTTCCCAGTTACCTTCTTGTCCTTCACATACTTGGAAATTGCTTTCAGGAGGAATTGCCACATAATTTTCCCAAGGACTGAGGTTGAGCTGTGTGACATTTGGTTTGTTCCAGTCACTGGGGAGCTACTCCACTTGCCAAGTACCTTCCAAAGATGAGTGAGATTGGTCAGCTTTTGTAAATCTTGCATGTGTATATATTGCCCTGCTTATACGTGCAATTTGGCCCTCACTTGGTCTTCCACTGATGTTGGTAGTATTTCTTTTCACCAGAGTCTAGCCCCAGGAGTGTGGGAGACCCGAGAGGAGATCTTGCCAGTGAACACTAAGGCGAAGAAGGCAATGAATACCTCATGTTTTTCTGTGCCCTTCATCACTTCATCACCATCGCTTTTCAGCAGTGAGCTCACTCTGTCTTTGGCTTGCTTTTTGTTGGTGCTGTACCTGTGAAGCCCTTGTTGCCTTTCCCATTCCTTACCAGTTTCAACTCCATCTGAGCTTTGATCTTCCTGATTCCATCCCTGCATGCTTGGGCAGTGGGTCCATGTGCTTCCTGGGTGGCTTGTCCCTGCTTCCACCTGCATGTTTTCTTTTTGCAATTGAGTTCAAGAGTATTCTGTAAGGTTTGAGTAGCGTGGGATGGATTAAGATTGACCTGCAACATGTAACATCAGCTTGAATTTGGCTGAATTATATGGCATAATTGGAGCTAATAGGCTTTAACATGCCTGCTGTAGATGCTATAGAGAGCAGCAACGTAACCTGATAATTTGGATATTAATGTCAGAAACAAGCGCATATATCCTGTTGACAGTTTAGAGACACCACCCTGTGATGCATGTTCATGCATTCTGCACTGCTTAAAAGCTGAAGGAGAGAGAGAAGGAAAGTACTGTAAAAGCTATGTTAATACCTGTTGAGTCATGTGTATGCCAACTCAATGCTTCATTGCACTTCTGCAGGAGGGAGAGAAAACAACTTGTTTAACTTAGATAATTCTTGTAAGTGGCTTCTTTATTTCCCCCAAATACTCTCTGCAACATGAATTGAATTCACTAGTAACATTGGAGGCTGTTGTCTCTCAAAAGCCCTAAAAAAAAAAAAAAAAAAAAAAAAAAGAGGAGATGGGGTGGTGTTTCTTGTTTGGACAATGCTTAAATATGATTTAAATATGAATAAAAGACAATCTATAAATTATAGAATTATACAGTGATTGAGGTTGGAGTGGACCTCAGGAGGTCATGTTGTCCAGCCTCTGCTAAGAGCTCATGTTCTGTTAAAGGACATTATAGCAGATAGAAATGAAAGAAGCTGAAATGCTGAAGAACTGGTAAATAAAGGGCCTGTGCTGAGTAGTAGTGTTTGTCATGTTATGAGAAACTGTTGTCTTGGATTAACATGTATTGAAAAGAGTTGTTGATCCGAAATACTGGAGGGGTTCCTAGGGGAAGGAGGGGCAGGCTTGATGTCACAACAAAATACTATTCTCAGTGAGGATTACTTAGGCAGCTGTCTTTCAAAAAACAAGTTGGCTTTGGGTGATTGTAACCATGTTTTAGTTAAAAAGTAACTAGAACTTAATGAACCCGCAATAGGGAAGCAGCAGCCCATGATTGCTTGGTAAGAGAAATGTCAGAAGACCTGCTGCTTGGTGGCTGGGCAGTTTGATCCTGACCCGAAGCCCTGTATTGTAAAGCTGCTGTGTAAGGAGACTTTTTCAGACCTCCACAAGATACACACTGCTGTGTGAAAGTGGCCTTTGTTCTGGATAGACTGAGCTTTGAGCACTCAGTTTCAGATATGTTGCATCCGAATGCTGGTGGCCATGTGCAGTTCACTTTGCAGCTGGAGACACTTCACTGAAGGATGTTAACTAACGTGTGTTTAACAGTTGTGCAAAACGATGAAGTCTAAACTAAGGTCTCGCACTTGGACCAAGTGTTTTTTCTGGATTATCGTGATTGTTCCCTTAAAAACATCAGTTTGGTAGTGGCCAAAAAAGGAGATGGAATATTAGGGGATATTAGTAAAAGGACTGGAGAACGTAATTCTGACACTGTATGAATTGGGACATGTACATGCCTTCAACACTGCATACAGTTCTGGTCATCTGCCAGAAAAACAAGGGTACTGGTGGATGGTAGAAGAGGTTTAGAAAAAGGGTAGCAAGAGTGTTTTAAGTTTTGTGAAAGCTGTCTATGAGGGGTGACTAGAGCAAGGATTCCTCACCCTAGAAAAGAAGTAAGGTAGCTGACAGAAATGTATGGTCTGAGTGCTTTGGTGGGTGGAAATCAGACTGGAACTACCGATTGCCCCAAAACAAGAACTAGGCCTCTGCTTTGGTATTTCCTGAAGTCAGAAGTTTCTTACATCATATAAAAGAGCACTTCCTTCCTTATCAGCAGTCTGTATCTCTTCCTCCACTTTTTTCTTCCCTGCCATGCAGCTTTCTTGGTTGGGTTGACCGTGTGGTCTTGTTAATCCACAGCAGAAACACTCCACATCTCCGTAGGCTTCAACTGTGTAAATCTGCTTGAGGGAGCATGAGATAGAGGTGTGTCTCTGACAGGGTAGTTTAAACTACATGGATTTTGCTGCTGTCTTTCTGGAAGAAATGGAGGGGAAAATGCACATGGAAGGGTTGGAGTGAGCAATAAATGGAAATACTGGTAGCTTAAAACCAGACAGATGGGTTTATTATAACCAGTAGCCTAAATACTAGTGACCTTTGAACAGAGGCAACTTAGGGATTTAAGTAACCTCCTTATTTGTACATCACTGTAAAGTCAAAGTTCAACCTTAGCTGTATATGCAAGAAGTAGTAATTAAAAGATCAGAGCCTTAGGCTCTCTAAAGAGAGCAGCTGGTTAAAGGGGAGCAGGTACACTTAGTTGTGGCTAGGAATCAATTTAGAAACAAAAATAGCACTATCAAACTAATATAAATAAAGTAAAAAAATCATGTTATGTAGTTAAAAAAACCTGAAAAGACGAACATATTTTTGTGATTCATCTTCCCCAAAACCCCAGGGTAACAAATCAAAAATACTTCTATGGAAAAGGTCAGTTGTTCTGAGGAGACAGTGGTAGAGACTCGCAACATGAAGGCTTGAACTTGATGACAGCTGACACTTATTTCAGGAGATGGGTATATTAAAAGCTGTCAGTTAAACAAAAACCTTCTTCTACCTCCTCCAATAATCTAGCTTCTCTAGACTTTGCCTCATAGCTACTCAGGCATATACATTGTGTTTTGGGTCTAAATTGTACTAGTCCTATGGTCAGGAATAAACATGCTTGACCAGTTAACATACAAGCAAAGTGTCAAGGCTGCCAATATGCTGTGCTTCTGAATGGCTCAGTGAAAAATTTTATTACCGAATAATCCTGTTTCATGTTACTCCCAACTACTGCAATTTCTTTGGAGAACTGAATTGTCTACATTGTGCTACAGTCAAGCTTTTCACAAGCAAAACTATAATGCTGAGAAAAGAGAGACTTGGTAGGAACAGATCAAAAATGGAGAGCAAAAGGAAAACAAAGCAAGCATTTTATTTCCAACTTAATGTTACTGTTTCTTGGTATCTTTTTAGTGAAAATGGGGTCTTTAAAAACATACTACATTTCCCACAATTGTTATGTGAGCAATCTTATTGGTTCCCATTCACTTTATGGTTGTTTTTAGAGATTAGCAACTTGAGTGAAAAAGATATTCTTGTTCTGCGTCTTGACTTGACTGATAGAAGCTCTCATGAAGCTGCAACCAACAGTGTTCTTAAGCATTTTGGCAAGGTAAGGTGTGCTTCTGGGGTTGAACTTATTTTTCTCTATCTCCTGTCCTTGCATTTATGTTCATATTTCACTTCTATCATATGGTAAATTCACCAGTATCTACATTTTGCTTAAGTTTCAGTATTAAACATGCCCAAAAGTACCTTAATTCTCATCCCTTGTGTTGCTTGCTTCTGGGTTTCAGCAGGCTTCGCAGAGATGCAGAAATGAGCCAATAATCACTGGTCATTGCCAAGAACTAAAAATTCACTTTGTGATGTCACTGAATGTCTGGATCAGCTGGGGGAATCCTCAGCTATATATTTAGGGCTTAAAATTGTGTGTGAAAATCAGAACCTTTATTTTGTAGTTTCAGTAATGCATGTAATTTGGGTTCAGAGCCATATGGGACAAAACTGGACAATGGGCACAATTGTTTTCCTTGTTTTGTACATAGTTTTCTAGATTGCTAGTCCAGAGTACAGAGATAAAACAATAGTAGTTGGATCTAACTAACATTAGATCTAACTAACATAAGTGCAATGTGCAAAGCTTCAAGCTAGGCCTTTAGTCCACATCTGATATTTTAGTTTCACAGTGAAATTATGGCACTAGATTTGTTTCTTCTGTTCTTTACTCTAGTTGGTTTCTGGTTTTGCGTAATATGTATTTTCAGAGGTTACCCTGCAGGACCTGAACGTTAAGTGTTATTTGCTAGAGTGCAGTAGGGTTCAAAAATGTTGTGTGGAAAACAACTTTCCAGCTGCCAGTGTTCCTGTACTAGGAGTTAACCTTGTTTGGCATCAAACACTGTTCCTGTTTTGTTGACTCAGCTCAAATTTAGCCAGCCCTCACTTCAAAGGAGGAGTTTAGTGGGGGAGAGCAACTGCTGAAACTTCTTCAGCAGCTGATACATCTTACTTGTGTATGGCAGAGACACCACCAGAGGGGAAGAGAACAGTCAGTTAACAATTGCCTGAGGACGTGCCAGTATTAAAGGAAATGTTTAATGTTAATTTATCATTGTGTCTTTCCTGAGATTGATGTTTTGGTCAACAATGGTGGACGTTCCCAGCGCTCTCTGTTTGTGGATACAAACCTGGATGTCTACAGTGCCATAATAGAACTCAACTACCTGGGTACAATCTCTTTAACAAAACATGTCCTGAATCACATGATCCAAAGGAAGAAAGGAAAGATTGTTACTGTGAGCAGTGTGATGGGTATCATGGGAGCTCCTCTTGCCTCTGGATACTGTGCCAGCAAGCATGCTCTGCAGGTAAGTTAAATTTCTGAGACTAATTAAGTCTTGTTGCGTAATAGACCAGCATCAGTTAGTGCCGTAGCAGACTACATTCTGTGCAGAAAACACCTGAAATTGCACACAGCATATGTAACTTCCTCAGGTTTTGAAAGTCCTTTAGAATTAATTTGCTCTGAAATGTGAAATATCTCAGCTCCTGGTGTAGATTTATTTTCTTGACTAAAATCCAGATGCCATCTTAGTTGGGCCTAAACACTACGTAGTTAAATTCCGATGTGAAACACAAGACCTTAGCCTCTGGCCTTCAGATGAAGGGATACCTAAATCAGAGGATTATTCCATTGCATATAGGAGCACTGATGTTCTCCTCTTAATTCAGTTATGGTGGAAAAGTCACTGGTGAGAGTTCTAAGACTACCGGAAATCTTTAGGACAGTAAAGCGAGAACAGTGAGTGGTAAAGCAGAGTACTCGGAGAAATGAGAATTCCTGATCTAGCTGGGAACATGTGAACAAATCTTCCCAACAGTTCTGAATCTTGCTGTGGTGTGAAGAACTGGCAGCTCATAGTGTCTTAGGAAGTTACCTTCTGCCTAACACTTAACTTTTAATATTGCTTGGAAAGAGTTCTTGAAAGCAGTCTCACTTGTGTAGAAAAACATGAAAGAACAGCTCAGAAAAGTATCTGAGGAAAAAAAAGCCTGTATCATTGAGGAATCATCTGTTTAACTAGTAAATTTATTTAGACATACTTGTCTTTCACCACTGCTTGACTTCCTGCTAATGTACATTTTGTTGTCAGTAAAATAAACTTCAGCTGTGCTCAGTGATGGTTTAAAAAACTGGCACTTTCTTACTCCCTACTTGGATTTAAGCACATAAACAGAGTAAATAACTTTGCTTAAACTATGGGATCAGTATCTTTTTGACAATTTGACTAACAGCAACAAAAATATAGCAAATGGCTGACACTGCAAAGCCACTGGGCACTTGAAAGAAAGAAGTTGTAGGAGACAGTGGCAGGTCTCTACTAATAAAAAGTTCACAGTTGGTGATGGGGAGAGATCTGTTGTTGACAATGAAATTGCCTGTTAGAGGCCAGCTTTTGGTTTAAGTTACACTCCTTTATTTATTAAGTGTTCTTCCAGTTGAATTATCTTTTGGGTGTGGTGTAGTTGGTCTAAGCATGGCTAATTAGTTGCAGAGCATAAGGAATTCATGTGATGCTTTAAAAATTCTCAGAACTCTGAATCTCATGTTAAGATTGAGAACATGGAAGAAGCTTTAAGGAGATAGTTTACTAAAGTTTGTGGATTAATTAAAAATAAGCTAACTGAACTGCTTATATCTCTGTTAGCTTCTGCCTCTGCTTAATAACCAGGCCAGACTCCAAACATCCTTTCTTGTTTCTTTCACAGTAATTCTGCAAGTACTAATTGCAGGTGTTAAAACATGTGATTTGCAATGTAGATTGCAAAAAGACTGTCTGAGAGTCTCTTGTCAGTCTGGAGTTAGGGCTAGATGTGGGCATGAAACCCCCAAGAAATAGAAATGCTGTTGTGAAATACCAAACTTCACCAGTACAGTTCAGTTAAAGGAAGTCTGTAGGAATGACAGTCCTCTTCAGATAGGTATTTTAAGATCATCTTGAAATGAAGATTGTGTTTTGGTCGCCAAATTTGAGCCTATCAGTTTTTGTGTTTTTTTAAATTCATGCCTTGGGGTCTACCACAAGTGACACAATTAATGCTGCAATCTTAATTATACTTTTTTTTTTAAAGTCCCTCCTTTTGTTCTGGTGTGGTGCGTTTTTTTTATTTCTTTTAAATGGCAGTTGGAGGAAGAAGGAAGGAATTCTGATAAGAATTAAAATTTGTTCTTGAAACAGTCATGCTTTGATTCATGTCAGTTGGAATTCTTCATAACGACATTCTACTCATTAAATTACCCTTCATTTCAGTTCTGGGAGTGCTGTAAGAGCATGAGCCAAGTCCACAGGAGTCTCCATCTGACTGATGTAGTTTCTCGCCTAGTGTGATGATGCTGATGGACATCATGTGCCATTCCTCTAGTTGTAGTTCATATAATTGGTGGCATGCAGAGTGAGTTGGAAATGGTGGCCTTCAAAATGTTCTTTAATCAGCAACTTGTCTAATAAGCACATGGACTGCACTGAGCAGCAACCGTTACTCTCTTTGCTCAGCCTCTGGTCATGAGGGGAGTTTCTAAATGTTTCTGTCATAGTAGAAGTCAGGTCAGCCTTGCCACCTTCTGCACCTTCTAGGATTTGGTCACTAAACTGGAAAAGCCCAGAGTTGTCTTAAAGCAGTTCATGTTCCACAGATCCTGTGTCTGCATGTCAGAGCTGGCTTCCATCTGGGCTTGGTGGAAACGCTCAGATTTTTCCCCTTGCACTTCTGTTCCTTTGCTGCTCCTGGGATCAGGGGCTGCTCCTGCCTGAATTTAAAGAAGAGAGCACTTTCTTTTCTTTCTTAGGAATTTTAAGCTTGTCCTCTGGGAGGAAGTGGAGGAATTTCATACCAGCTATCTTTGGATGTCTAAGACAAGATAAGTGCTGGAATTAGAGGACCTGTATATACTGTAGATAGAGCCCCCACAGGGGACTGAGAGTATGTAAGATTCTGGTCTTGAAGAGGCTCTTTTCAGCACGTGTCAGCCAGGACTTCAGCTGAGCAAGTGCCCTGGCCATCCTGTGTTGCTGGTGAAGACTGCACCTCTTCCCCACTAGGGAAGGAGAGGCCACACGAACCTCTCGAGATGGAGGGGGATAGCAGAATGGCCACAGAGCAGAAACAGGAGCTCGCTGTCATCTCTGGCTACAGGCATTTCATGTTTACAGGCTGTGTGACCCTTTAATGAAATGGTACCGACTTTGACAGTGCTACTCAAACAGCACTCTGGGGGAAAAAGCCTCAGCAGCCCTGTGGCCAGCTACCGTGCAGACAGGGTCTTCAAAAATGACAATGCTTGGCTTTTGGTGTCTTGCAACCTGCTCAGGTCAGCAAGGCTCCCTTTGTAGGGAAGCAGCAGTCTGAGAGCGGAGTGTGCCAGAGGCAGCGCGCTCTGCAGGAAGTGTCAGAAGTTGCCTACAGGGCTGACTACTGTTGTGTGCTTTCATGTGGCTACTCAGGACTGCGGGCAGGTGCCCATTTTTAGGTAGAATTTGCATCCCAGAAGCCTCCCAGCAATTAAACTGGTGTAGGTGCTTTGTTTCAAGTGACTGAGCAATGTTTCTGGTTTCCTTTCTATCACAGCATTCCCAGACACACACCTTTCCACCTCCTTGACTCCTGGAAGTACGTCTTGAGTTTGTCTCCTTCAGGCAAAATGGGAGTCAGTTCTGTTTCTTACCAAATCGCCCAGGAGAGATAAGGGAGTGTGGGCTGGGAAAGCTACTGCTTTGTCCTGCTCATGCAGTTCAGCGTCGATAGAATAACTAATGATGGCCCAAAGGAGGGAAGATAGCCATGTAGGCTGCTGTTCAGGCTGTATTTCTAGGAGAGCCTGGACTTCCAGTCATTGCTGGGTGAACAGCATCCAAAGCGCATGTGTGAACAAGGGGCAGTACCACGTTGTCCCCTGGCCCATAGTGGCTCATGACCCACGCTGCCACCTTCTCCCTTTTGGGGTCTAGTGTCATCTTACATGTTACTTTTTCCTCAGCTGGACTGACAGCACACCTTCTGTGACAGGACCGCACAACCTAGGGGACCCCTTGGAGAAAGGAGGAAATGGGGAAGGTGCAGGTCTGGGCTGTAGCATTAGCCTAGAGTGGTGGATAAAGCACAGCCGTATTGGTGCCACACCTGAAAGTGTGCACCAGGGGCAGAGGAGGCTCCTCAAGGGCAGAAGGTAATCTAGGGGAGGGCCTGGGTTTTTAGTCCAAAACAACTGGGTGGGTGGCAGATCTGCTTCCCGATGTGTCCAGAAGCAGACTTCTGGGCATATAAGTGTCTTTATGTTAGAATTTACTCCTCTAGAAGTTACACATCTCCAGGCTTTGATAACATGCTGTGACAGACCCGATACCAGTTATGGGGCCTGCAGGTATTTACAACTTGAGATACCTCGTCAGTGTTTTTACAGAACGTAATTGCAAAGCTTGTGTGCAATCTATAAGCTGGAATTAGTCACCAGCAATTGGGAAATTAGAGTCCATGTCCTTGGCTATAGGGGTGCACTGGTGCGCACCGGTGTGCACCTCATGGCTTAGCTTTAGTGGATTGCCCCAGTTGACTACTTCTGTGCCATGACAGGAGCACAGCTGACTGATTTTTAGCCCTGTGTGGCACTTTAGTTCAGAGCTCTGGGTCAGCCAGCCCTCTTCCCAAGCTGGACGGGAGTACAAATTACAAATTTTTACTACCGTGGGGGAAGTTTATCACCCTGTGGTCACTCCGTCTCTGTTGTGACACAAAATCATGTGTTACAGGAACTGTTGTTAACTGTTGTTAACCAGGTCAAAGATAAGACACAACGCGGTATTTGCTAAATCCTAGCTCTACAGTGCTTGACCAGCAACTTCAGTAGAAAGCACCTTCCTGCATTGGTCATGTTGCCCATAATAGTTGCTGTCCAAATGTGAATTGCCACAGAGATTAAGGAAACTTCTATGCTGTTAGCTTAAAGAAAAGAAATACTAACTGCTTTTGTAATTATAGTGTAACTTAGATACACTGGTAGCATATTCCTCGTAGATTAGTATCTATGTGGATGCAATTTTCAAACTCTGTAGTGAATGCAGTGATGCAGAATTACCCCCTAAAATATCTGTGTGCACCTTTGACTTCTTAATGTGCTGAAAAGTTTTCCTCCTTCTCTTATCTAAAACCAGTGCCACTTACTCGGTAGAAACAATTTAAAATCTTTAATCTCACCACAAAGAGCAATTCACCTGCAAAAGATAATTTCTGCAAAATTGCTGTTCTTACGACTGGTGGCACTTCCACTACCAAAACAGTGAGGCTCGTCCTCAGTACAGGGACAGCAGAATCTGGCTGTAGCTTTGAGAAATTATTGTGTATTTGAGAAGTCAAGGATAGATTCCTTAGTGATTTATGTATCAACGTCTATAATTGCAGATACAAATTTTAAATTAGCCATTGAATGTGAAAAGACAAAGGAAGTAGTAGGAATTGCTTTTAGTGGAATACAGTTATCTTCACAGCATAGAATTAGTATGAAAATATGTAGTCAGTTAGATGTTGCTACATGCAGACACATGGCAAAGGAAGATGACATTATTGCCTTTTCTTTTAGGGTTTTTTCAATTCTCTTCGGACTGAGCTGACTGACTACCCTGAGATAAGTATTATCAACATATGCCCAGGGCCTGTACAGTCCAAGATCATACAAAATGTCTTCACAGAGAATCTTGCAAAGGTAAGGACTCAATTCTGTTGCAATAAATCCAACTTCGCTGCAGGCCCAGTGATCCTTTCATGGTTTTCTTTTCTTTTTCTCCTCCTAGCAAACACTAACCTCATCTTCTTGCCAAGAAAAGCTTTGATTGGTGCGGAACTAACAGGTCTTGTAATCCGTTGTGGTATCAAGCCCATATCAAATGAAAATAAAGTTTGAGAATTGTTATGCCTACTCTCTTCCATCACATACAATCCAAGTCTAGTCAGATTTACTGTACGGCTGCCCTGCTGCACTTCTGGGGGAAAAGCCAGGATTTTCTGGAGACAATTTTGCATGCAAAATACTATCCTTTCTGCACAGGTAGCTTTTTGTTTGCCTTAGTCACGATGTCCCCTGTTTGGTTGACACTGTTGTTGGCAAAGCCACTGGAGTCAGCTGATGTGAGGCATGTGCTCTTTTCCTGTTAGTGATTGTTCAAGGAGAAAAAACAAAACTTTCCAACTGCACCATTGCTTTTAATAAAGGCTGCCTAACAAAGCAGCTGGCAAAACATGCTACTATGATACATCAAAATGTAATCTGTCCTAAATTCAATCAATTTGAAGTGCAGGATAAGGCACCAGTTGGGGGGGGCGAATCTCCCATTGTTGAATCGAGTTCTGAAAGGATTTTTGGCTTGCCAAAACTTCATACTTCTGTGAAAGAAAAGATGTACTTTTTGAGCAATCTGGAAAACTTGCAAAACAAGTTCCTCAGATTTCAGCACGACAAAAGACCTAGGAGGAAGACTGAATCTAGACCAGAATTGCTTTTGCTCTGGGAAATAGAAGAACAGATTGATAGAGCAGTCTGTTATTGCTGGAGTGAAATGCGTATAAATTCACAGGCCTGTGGCTTACATCCTCCAAGCGATACATGCGGACAAGATTTCAAGTAAGACATCCCTGCCAGTGAAGAAGCCTGTTGCTTTTCTCTTGTTTGAGATGGCTGCCCACAGATCAGAGCTGGCAGGAATATTTAAGTTAATGGGGAATGTGGCCTCATCTACTAACTTGATTACTGAGTGACCTGTAGCATATAATGGGGTAGGCAGCTGGGAACAGGAATGTTCCCATTTCTTGGAGCCCTCAGCTGCAGAATGGGTTACTTGTTTTGATGGATAGATCTATTTCATGATAAAGCAGAAGCCATGCTGAAGCAGGACAGAGTTTGGAGAGCCATTTTTTTCAACCTTCTTTGACCCATCAATTGAGACATTAATTAAAAAGGTGCCTTATTTAAGCATGTGTGCTAACAGAAGGTGCTACATGTCCCCACACCAAGAACTAGAGGCTTAGCATAGCAAGGGATCACAGAATCCTTTGGGTTGGAAGGGACCTTTAAGGGTCATCTAGTCCAACCCCCTGCAGTGAGAAGGGACAGCTCCAACTAGATCAGGTTGCTCAGAGCCCCGTCCAACCTGACCTGGAATGTTTCCAGGGATGGGGCACCTACCACCTCTCTGGGCAACCTGGGCCAGGGTTTCACCACCCTTGTTGTCAAAAATGTCTTGCTTAGATCTAGTCTAAATCTGCCCTCTTTTTGTTTAAAACCATTACCCCTTGTCCTATCACTACAGGCCCTGCTAAAAAGTCTGGCCCCCTTTAAGAACTGGCAGGCTGCACTAAGGTCTCCCCGGAGCCTTCTCTTTCCAGGCTGAACAACCCCAACTCTCTCAGCCTGTTCTCACAGCACAGCTGTTCCACCCCTCTGGTCATTTTTGTGGCTTCCTCTGGACTTACTCCAACAGGTCCATGTCTTTCCATGGGTTCTCTAGCCACAGCCTCTGCTGTACTGGCCGGGTTCTTCTACTTATGCACAGTGGAGAAGCTGGGAGAAGTATGTCTGTGGCACAGAGCCTGGCCCTTTACACTTTCTCTACCCCAAACAGAAGTCCAGTTCTAATCCCTCCTCATGCTCTCTTTCTCCCCTCCAGTCCATAGAGAACAGCGGCGATCAGTCCCACAAGATGCCAACTGACCGCTGCGTCCGGCTGACCCTGGTGAGCACGGCCAATGACCTGAAAGAGGCTTGGATCAGTGACCACCCCTATCTGGCCGTTTGCTACCTCTGGCAGTATGCACCCACCTGGGCTTGGTGGCTGATGAACAGAATGGGCAAGAGGAGGATACAGAATTTTAAGAGCGGAGTAGTAAGTTTATTCCTCTTTGCTTGCTTGCTTTTTTTTTGTTTTTAACTCTGCTGACAGACTCTTCAGCCATGGGAATGTTGGGATTGCATTTTGGATCTGTTTCTTTTTTCCCTCCTTACTTCTCTAGCAGCTGATGCCAGGCCAGACTCCATTGCTGCATGCCTGGTAGTCTAGAATTACTGCAGTGCGGTCACACCACAGAACAGTGAAGTCAGTACGTCTTCTAGCGCCAAAGGCCTTGCTCTGATCTTCATCAGGCAGACTGCAAGTTCAGAACTCGGCGTTAACGCAGAGCTGAGCTATAAGGCAGTAGCGTAAATTATTTAATGCAACTTGGAATTAAGACTGCTGAAAATCTCTGCCTTGGTTGTGGCTAGTTTTTATATCAGGTGTGTAATCTGAGCCCCTCCCAGACGTACGTTAAGCAATACTCCTGCCTGTTGGGGCTCTTCACTCGCAGTCACTTCCCTGAAGACGGATGTGCCGTGCAGCGATGTGCGTGCTGCTTGGTAGATGGTGTTTTTCTTACTGTGCTTTTGTTGAACTTGGTACACCCCCCCACCATGTCAAAGTACTCCAAAAGCAGGAAATGCAAAAATAAGGGTGGCACATGCACTGTAAAGCTTCCTACTTCCCCACTGTAACTGCCCACTGTCACAAGCTCTTTCAAAGCAAAATAACGCTGTGGGTGAAGGACTTAAATATGGGGGGGAAATACTGATATATCGTACTCTTGCTCCAGGATGCTGATGCCTCTTACTCAAGAAAGAAGAAGTAAGGACAAGCATGTACAAAATCCAGCTGTTCTCATGCTAAGGCTGAGAAACCTTTTTCATACTGCGTGACTGCAAACAAAAGCTTTTCTTTTTTATCTGTTGTACCTTTGTCATCATGTAACATGACAAACCTATCAAGCTGCATACACACTTACTAAATAAAAATCTCTTTCTAAACATACCTGTTTCATGCTAAACTGCCATTTTTAAGCTTACGAGAATTGAGACAGAAGAGGCTGGGCATTATTTTGTTTTGCTACTGCTATAACATTGACAAATACTTATATACCCACAGGATTCTCTTTCAAAAAAAATTCCTAATGGACTTTGAGCAAAAAAAACCCCCACAAGTAGAAGCTTGTGATATAAAGGGTAAGGATCTCTGGGGAGACCTTACTGCAGCCCTCCTGTACTTAAAGGGGCCTGTAGGAAAGATGGGGACAGACTTTATAGCATGGCCTGTAGTGATAGGGCAAGGGGTAATGGTTTTAAACTAAAAGAGGGCAGATTTAGCCTAGATCTAAGGAAGACATTGTTCCTAATGAAGGTGGTGAACCCCTGGCCCAGGTTGCCCAGAGAGGTGGTAGGTGCCCCATCCCTGGAAACATTCCAGGTCAGGTTGGATGGGCTCTGATCTAGTTGGAGCTGTCCCTTGACACTACAGGAAATTGGACTGGATGACTTTTAAAGGTCCCTTTCCACCCAAACTACTCTGATTCTGTGATGTATAGTCTGTGCAAATCCCTGACCTTCATGGCACAACATTTAGAAGTACTTTAATCTTTAGGTCTGTCAGCACCATGGCAGAGTCCACTGTCTTCTGGTTTTGTGAAATCTTTCTACACTGGGCAGTGTATAGAAAAGCAGTGGGGAAGGGAGAGTGATGGTGTAACTGTAACCCCCGTCACAGGTTGTACTCAGCCTTGCTCTGAACCTGGCACATGTTAAATTGATAGAGCATTGAGAGAGGAGCAGGGGAAAGTTCCTGTAGCGGAACAGCCTGTAGCTACAACAGAGGGCATGGTGTGAACGCGAAATCCATTTCACAGCAGATTGCTTACAGCCAAGACTCCCATGTCAGAGCAGAACTGGGGCAGACAGTGCATTATAGGCAATTTAAGCATGAAATGGAGGCCGAGTGCCCAGCTTGGTCAGAAACAGGCCCTTCCGTACAGAGCCAGTCTCAACAGTACTGGTATTCTTGCTGCCAGACAGCAACAGCCCTGAGGAACCAAGGATTGTATTTTTTAAAACATTTGCCATCCCACTGACACCCAATTCAACCGTTAGCTAAAAGGACCTCTGTAGTGGTAACTGATCTGTATGTCCAAGCTTGGCGACCTCCTTGCTGTGGGCAAAGCCCTCAGTAATGTTTGGATAGACCTCAGGCCACACACTGTCCAGGTAAGAAAAATTCTTACTTCTTATGTCACTGAGTGATAACAAAAGAATAACAACCCATTTAAAATTATTGAAACTTTCCAATCATAGCAAAGAATAAGCCAAGAGCAATGTTTTTAGCATGACATTTAACAAAGATGGAAACTACTGTCTAGAAAAAAAAACAAAAACGATCAAATGACAAGTGTCTGGTCTCATGCTGTTCTGTGAGCACGGAAGGTTCATTTAACTCGCTAACACACCAGTTCCCGTACTGTGGTTTGTGAAACGTGCTAAAGAGGCAGCAGTAAGTCTGCATGACATAAATGCAGCCACTCTTTAATACAAGACACATACAGATGATGTTTACAGGATGCTTTAGCTTCCATCCTCTAATCCACAGAAGATTTGGCAGTATTGTACACAGCAGAAGGCTTGCTCTCCATTTACCTACAGGTTTGTCTGCTCTCCCACTGTGAAAAAAGTGTAAGCTTTTGCACACAATGAGGTCACGTCTCTCGCTTGAGCTAGGGACAGTTGCTGGAGACATGTCAATGCAGACCCACCTTCATGGCCTATGCTATCGCCACCACCAGCATGAGAAAGAGCAACATGGGAGGAGTGACAGTAGAGATGACTGGGACCAGGTGGCGAGGAAGTTACCCCTTTCGGAGAGGAAGCTGGTGTTCAAGGAAAATGCAGGATGCAGAAACTTTCTACAAAGGACCAAGCATTTGCCACTTGAAAATGCAACTTCGCTAACACTTTGTTCCATTAAACTGATTCCTGTTGCTTTATGGTATGTGAATGGGACAGAGGCAGCCTGCAGGACTGACTTACTGTTGTAAAGACACAAAGGGGGTGAAAATCCTCTAGTAAGCACTGAACGTATGTTAGAAAAATACTTTACTTGAAAATTGATCTTGTTAAATAAAGGTTCTCCAAAGCCATGGTGAAGGTGTCTTACACTTACCTTTGTGTGATGAACATCGCAATCTGTAAAGCAAGTAGGTGTTGCTAAGAATGAAGTAAAGCTGATGCACACACCTGCTTAGAAAACATAGAGCAGCTCTCAGTGGTCACAGGGGAAAATGGTGTGGTGGCCTGCTGTAAGCTCAGTCCTAGATATTCAGTCCAGCAGTAGTATTTCATCGGTAATCCGAATAGCAGCATATATTGTATGCTTACGAGCTGCAGACGACACCAGGCTTGAAGGTGCTCTAAATTCCTGATAAATCAAAGCAATGCTCCAAAACAAACAGGACACAGTTCAAGAGACAGCAAACAAAACAGCGTGCTTCAGAAGGGCGCTCAGCTGCACAAATTTGCGATACAGAACAAGAGGCTGTAACGTGGTTCTGCCAAAAAAAAGAATCTAAAGACAGTTACAGAAAATTGTAATGCGAATCGGGGTCATACTGTTGCAAAACGTACTGGAATGTGCGAACTGACTCAGTACGTCAATGCATAAGGGGCTGTCGGACACGACGCCTGCAACAGCCGGGGACAGGATGTTACCGTGCATTAGAGCCCAACTCCACATTCCTGTGCACAAACAGGAATTCTGCACATCGCTAATTCTGTTCCTCCATCTGGTAGCAACCGGGATCTCTGCTGGAACACCAGGGCCAGTTACCAGCAACACTTTGAGAAGACTGGGTACCAGATGAAGAGAACCAGAAGAAAGGAAGAGAAAAGGATCACAGCGCTCTCCATTTTTTTCTCAACTAGTTTATTCAGTATACAGAAGACAAAGAATCAGGGCAGAAATTACAGCCATCTTCAAATAGAAGACTGCTGCTGCAAAAAAAAAGGTAATTAAATTTTCTGTGACCATACAGAAGACAAGTAGTAAGATGCTTACAATGAGGGAGGTTTAATTAAATTTTGGAAAAAACACTGATTTTTCAACTGCTGCAAGAAAAGCAAAGAACTGGAATGAACTACTTGATGAGTTCATGATGCTCCTGATACTGAAAGTTTTAAATCAGATTAAACATTTGCCAGGAGTAGTTCCTTTTGAGAGGAAACTGAAATACATGCTCTCTAAAAGCCTTCCAGATCAGTTTCTACAACATTTCCAGATACAGTTCATGGCCAAGCAAAGTGATTTCAGGTTATCGGCACTTTGTTATTTACACTCCCACACATCAACCAACTATCTTCTAAGAGCTGCTTCCATTAATGTCCTGTGTGAATTTCATCCTGTACGTTAAAGTCTTATACCATGGAGTTTGGCAGGTGTTTCCCTACGGCTTCTGAATTCCACTACATAGTTTACATATTTTTTTAAGATCATTTATGGTCACTGATCAAAAGAAACAGCTAATAGCCAAGGACACAGTACACAGTCCTGTGACAAATTTTATCTGATACAAAAAGGTCTTAAAGGTGAGGAGTAAAAGTAATAAACATACTCCAAATTATACAACACTGGGTGTTCTAAACCAGTACTAATTCAGTTACGGACCAGATCTGATTTGAATTGATTCTACAGATTAAAGACAATCACCTGCACCCTGCTCAGCATATGCCAGCAGTAACTACACTTTTAACTACTGATCTACAGAGAAAACACATTTATGTGCTAATGACCGGTGGTAACGAACAGGATAAACAAGCCACTGGAGAGATGACCGAGACCTGTTTTCAAGGAGACCTGTAATACTACAAACCAATTGCCAAATTCTGTTCTAACCTCTAGTAAGGTTAAAAAAAAAAATTAATTCTGGCACAGACAGCTGGATTTCCCCCCCGCCTGCATCATCAAGCTCTCATTGTATTTGTGGAAGACTGGTTAGTGATGTGGACATGGGTTGCAAAAAGCAACATATATATTGTTATATATAAAATACATGGATATTGGAAGAAGGAAATCACATTAATCCATTTGGACTTAAATTCCTTCTCTCCCCTAATTACATGTTTACTTTCGTCAGTAGGTCACACAATTTATTACTGTGTCAGAATGCACACTGTTTTATATAAATTCTCTTTGCCCCCAAAACAAGTACTTGGGTAAAAATTGTCCTTTACAACTTACTTTGTTAAAGCATAGCCGATAACTTACTACCACTAAGGAAGATCAGCTAAAGTCATATATTATAACAAATGCTACAGCTGAACTCAGTCAAATATAAAAAGGCCAGAATAAAAAAATAATAAAAAAGTCATATAAATAGTCATCTGTACACTTTGGTTACCAACCCTGTGGTTGACGGTACTACAGTGAGCTGTAACCTGACTGTCAGTGCAAGTCACCTGTCCAACTATTAAAAAGAAAAAAAAAAAAAAAAAAAAAATCAGAATGCACCAAAAATAGTTAATGATCAGAATTATGCTGCTCTTCTCTAAACCAGAGAAGAGAATTTCAGCATCTCCTGGCTTGTCAGCCACACAGGGAACGGTGTCTCACGTGCTCCAGCAGCAAGAAAACAGTTCAAAACTTCCTGCCTGCTGAAGGTTCTGGCTAGCACCACTTCTGTGCAAATTATGTACGTTGGCTTGGCACTGCCATCCAAGACCATTCGGAGAGTAAAATCTTATTTGTAGTGTATAAATGTAGCATGAACGTTTGATTCCCCACATGCAGATGGGAAATACAAAATAATAATAATTAAAAAAAAAAGTGGTACTGACATTCTAGAACAAAGGCAGATGCAGAAGTTCAGATGAATAAACAGGGTAGCCAAGAGGTGGGTCTGCAGCTTGCACAGTAAGGTTTCGCAGAAGAACTGGGTGTGCCTGGATGCTGTACCGTTCTTCATCATCATTTGTAGCATAGAGCAGCTCCCAGGAC